AACGACAATCCTCATCCCTTGGGCCCCAACCTGGAAGGCGGGCTGCACCAACCGAAGCCAAAGCTGAAGCCAGCTTCTTCATGCCTCTAGCCCATGTCATGGTTGACCGCCGCGTCGCTTCCTCCAGCCTTGCCCGGCACGTGCGAAGAGATCATGGAAAGGTAATCGATGGGCAGGCATACGCAATACGTGACCAAGCCATCGGAGGCGATGTAGAGCGATTACTTCTGTTAGAGAACGACTATCCGCATCCAACACACGACGACGGACCTCGTCATTGCTCATCCGGTGTTCCCACCAGACATGAGCAATTCTTCGCAGACATCGGTGGTCAAATACAGAAAGTCGATTAGCATCCTCCGCTCGGAGAGGTCAAGTCTCACAACTGTAAAGCAGAACACTAAGAACTGCGGTGATGTACACCCTTCCCTTAAGGGATAGTCGGATGTCATGGCGGCACCACAGGTGTCGTAGGTTGGCGAAAGCTACTCTAGCGTTTGCTATTCGTGATGTGACCTCCTCCCCAACAACCCCACTAGCTGCGATCTAGCTCCAGAGGTACTTAAAGCTCTCAACTACTTCCAGATAATCACCAAAGAGGGTCAGTGCAGGCACAAGCTCCTGCCAGTCTTGAACAAGCACTTTGCTCTTTGAAGGTGCAGAATAAGCACCATACCTGGATACCTCGATAACCAAGCGGTTCAAAGCGTCTTGGACTACCTGTGTGTTGTCACCTAGAAAGACAATGTCATCAGCATATTCAAAGTCAAGAACTATGTTCCCTGGGAGGAGTTCGACTCCTCCGTTTGCGAGACCGAACAAAGCGTTCCGTAGAACATCCTCTATGACAAAGTTGAAAAGAATGGGAATATAGGGCAACTTTGTCGAACTCTACTGGAGGCGGCGAAGGATGGCGAAAGCTGGCCATAACCCGACTTGAGGTATAACGATACAACTCTTATTCGCCGTAGCAACTCCGAGATGAAGGAAACCACGTGGTGGTCAACAGATAACGTAGCGAAGATGCACGAAGAAACGCGCAGAGCTATTCGGTGGAGTAGGTGTCTCGCGCCTTCCAGGTTAGGGTTTGAAAGAGTCTGCAGGTGTTTGGTTGGAGACATTGAAGGATGCGGCAGTGAACCGACAGTAGTGGCGTTCTTGGTCCCATTTCTTATTATATCAGAATGCTTGAAAAGGTATGTATGCACAATTGGATGGTGTACTCTGTGTTGACCATAGAGCTCCACTTCTTTCCTCTCTCTCAAAATAGGTCCAATCTCTGTTCACCTTACATATTACCACTGACTTCACTGTACGACGATGATGAGAACATCGTGTTAAACTCGGTCGAGTCTTTTAAAATTCGACTAGGACCAAGTGTTTTTTCCCCAGCGGTTGCCGAGTACAGTTGACCAAAGTCTGCAGTCACCTCTCAACTTTGGTGATAAGCAGCTTCGCTATCATCTGGTTCCGTATTATGTCTGTCGTATTGCGTAGTTTGCCACTCCGATTGCTGGACTTAGGTTACCGATTATCACGAATGACCGAGAGGCCCTCATGATCATCGAATTTGCCCCAATTTGTTGTTCATCATTAGTTTGTATTTAATGAACGAAATTAGAGATCTTTTAAGAATAAGAATATCGGAATCGGCATAGTATTTTTATGCAAACAGGCTTCCTTTTTAACTCATGTTCTACGCACCTATAGTTTGTATGCTTTCTGTATTTTTATTTTGATAGTGCTCCCAGCTTTCAGCTCTTCTATATATTAGTTCACCAAGTGAGTGAAACGAACTTCACTAATCACTGGCAAACTCTTGATACCTACAAGGTATGTGTCAGGTGATCTGGACTTGAGCCTGTTTTCACAGAGGGGGGGGGGGGGGAAGCGAACCCCTAAGGTCAACGCACAAATTACACAGATCAGTTTTACATAAACACTTTTTCGGGCTTTCTTATCTGGTAAGAAGTGAAAACAATATTACTGCTGTCGGTTTGTTGCCATATCCTACAGTGTCTTCCTCCAACCGGTTGCAGTATCTTTGCTGTCCCAGCCCAGAAGAAGGGCGACATCTACTCTATTTTATCACTTCATTTCTTCATGCTTCGTCTCTGCGTCATCTACTGATCTCTGCATGAGTTCTATTTCGCCTGTCCGCCGAGCTTGGAAATTTGTTTGCAAACGTTTCATCACCAGCCGAGTTGAAATCATCGGTGCTTGTGAAGTGGCCACTTCACAGTGAAGTAGGGCAGACGTGACGAACACCACTGCTAGGTTCGAACGATCTCAGCTTACTGCAGACTCTTACGCTACCAGATCCGTGCGCGTAGAGTGACCTCAAATAGGTTTAGAAACTGAAGCGACATTCCTTTTCGAAGAAGCGAACCCACAAGGGCTATGCGTTCAACTGAGCCGAAGGCTCGGTCAAGAAACATGATAACTGTTGGTCGACGGCGTAGATCGAGGGTTTGATGTAGCATGAAGACTTGGTGGATGCAACCGCAACCTGGTCGAAATCCTGCATACTGTTTACGGATATTTGTCTCCTTGGATGGTGTCAGATTTCCAAGTATGACGGAAGTTAGAACTTTGGTGATGATTAGGTCCTGAGTGATCCTGCGGTGGTTTTCGTAGTCATTGCGAGATCCTTTCTTGAAAATTAGAACGATCATTTCTGAACGCTTATTGAGTAATTGAACCATTTGAGTCTCCAACTGCCTCCGTTACGTCTTATGTCGAACTTTTATCCTTGGTTAAACATAAAAGTTTGCAACTGGCACTACTAGGTACAACCCATCCTCAACCATCGGTAGCGCCATTTTCGACAGTTTATTCTGTTGTCCAACAAAAGAACCTCTGTTTAATAGTATTACAAACGAACTTTATGCTTAGTGGTTAATTTGGAGAATCTGGAAATATGTTTTTTAAAGAAGTAAATCGCGGGAGGTCGCGTCCGAGTGTAAGTGCTATTGAGCCGGATGACACCAAGTGTATCACGTATGACAATGACCGATGTAATGTTTATTCTTTTCCTTCATATATCATGTGGACTTGGTAATCGTTGGAACTGTTCTGATGAAAGGGCAAATCGTGGTTGTCGTCAGTAACTTGTTCCATTAACGGTTTCTCCTGATACTGTCGTGACCATGGCAATTTTTACTTGATTGCACGCTTTTCAAATCCCGTCAGATTTATCGACCCAACTGTACGCCCGGATTCTCTCACGTTTAACTAGATTCTTTATCACCACGAGAGGCTGGGATGATGGTCACTGATGGTTAGATACAGTGATATGGCTGGGTGTCGCAAACAGTGACACTCGTGCATCCACTCATTATTCCCCTATCACTATTCTATATGAATTCTCTATCTTCCGCTTGAATTTGCTTTCAACACTCCAGTCTTCATTCTGCTCTTTTATCCAAATGGGGCACCAAAAGACAGCAACCAAAACCAACGCACGAAAGTGCTGGGTTAATGGTTGTAAAGACTGAACTGAACTTGGAAACCAGTTTTGTTTCATGGTTTAAAGGCCTCAGAGGTTTTTACAGGACGAATACTGATTAGGTAAACCCTCATTTCCTCAATCTGCACCAATATTTGATTGGGACCACCCATTCAAGTTGCACGGTTTTATTCAGTCCACAATGTTCAGTCACACTTTTTGCATCGAAACCCCGGCAGCAAATGCAGTAGTGATCTACAATTGCTTTATTCATCCCTACAACCCTAGTCCATGTGAATTGTCTATCTTATCTTTGACTGTGCTCGCAACATTCCATTCTTCCTTCTGCTGTTTATATAAATGGGCAATCATGAAGCCGCAACCAAAACTGGCGCACGAAAGCGCATGATTAGTGGTTGTAAAAATTGTACTAAACGTTCTCTTTTGTTATTTTTGCATTATTTGCCAAAATGCCTGATGTGTTGTATCGTATTTATTGTTCGTATTTTGCCTTTCAGACGGAAATGCAATATGCAATGGAGCCGGCGGCTACAAGCGGCTATCTATCAGATGGAGACACAACGGCGGAATCGATTAATCTAGCACACTTAGAAGGACACCAGTGGAATCAGTTGCAGGATGGAACAATCGAAGTGACTGATCGACAACCGAAAAAAGAATACTACATGAGCTTGCGACGGTTCAATACTCAGATGCCCGGCTCTGCTACTGGCACCACTCAGCGTTTAGGTAGTATTTCCAGTGGCTCTATGTTGGGTCCTTCCAATGGAACAGCCGGTTTGGTTAATACCAGTCTCCCAGCTCCCGGAAATGTAGCACAGCCCACTTCGCCCAGATCCACCAGTGGTACCATGCGTGGTCGAACGAATACCTCGGTAATTGATTTCAAACCGTCTGGAAAGACTGTGGACTGCACCGTGGTCATGCTGGACGGAACTACCAGGGAGTTTCGTCTCGATGTGAGTGATCATGTACATGTTCTGAAATGTCATCTTTCCTTGAGATAGACAGCTTCGTAGTCGTCTGGTGCTATATCATGAATTGCCTCCCCAAAGGATTGTTTGTGTTCGGTAGTATATGCACCCTGTGATTCGCTATGTGCGGTAACTTAGTTGTGGCTGTTCATTGATGCAAATATTGGATCCCATAATGTGACGATCAGAGCATACGTCAACCAATATCTACAAAACGTTTTCTTCGGAGAGCAGTGCGGTTGACGATTACGGAGAGAGAGGGAGGTGAACCTTGGGTGCTGAAGCTGACCAGATTAGAGCTCGTAATCAGAGCATCCTTAGAAACGTGAATAAATGCGTGTAATTGTGTCGTGGTTGTGATACACGACGGGTTCGTCATGCGAAGCCAATCAATCATCAGTGCACAGTAACAAAAATAGTCAAACCCCGAAACAGTGTATATGTTTGATGTCCTAAGTGTTAGCAACATTCAGACATGAATCAGAAATGTGGTTTCTTTCTTATTCTGTAATGAATCATCATTAAATCAAGTATGATGATATCGAAAACGAGGTTGTTCCCTACAGTGTTTTTTCCTACAATGTGTGATAATGGTATAGTGGGCAGTAGTTGGGAGTGCCGCATCTTTCTCTTAGAGGCACGTTTCGCTTGCTTCAGATTCCAAACTTATTGGGATTTGCGGTCGCTTACAGGTTTCTTTTTGTGTATTGTTTATTCAGTCCTATCTTATTTTTATCAGTCCGGTGCATTAGATGTGTTGCGCAAGGAACATCTGCTCGACCCATCTTAATGGTTTGAGTGCCAAAGTGTTGGGCATTGAGTTTCCCTGGTGTAATATAACTATACCAAAACAATTTAGCACTTGGGTGTGTTTTCTGAATCGTTCTCGATGGTGTCTTATGTGAATATTGTGACAGGCAATCGGATTATTTCATGAGATGGGAGGGGAAGAAGAATACCAATGGTTGATGTTTTTAAATTTTAGCGTCACTTATTCCTTTATGTTTGCCATCATTACTCTGTTGTTGTTGTTTTTTTCCTTCCAGAAAGCGGCCTACGGACAGCAACTTTTCGATTCCGTCTGTACACATTTGGGTCTGCTGGAAGTGGACTTTTTTGGTATCACGTACTACGATACGACAAATAATTGGGTACGTGTGTTTATCGTTTGTCCGATTGAAATATCCCAAGTGATGTGTCCGTGCGCATGTCTGTCTACATGGAAAGGCATCTAATGTCCCATTTTTCGAAAATATTCATCCGCTTACACTAGTAGATGGATACCTATCTTTAAATAACTTCCAAGTAGCTTTGATAAAACTGATATTTTGACTTGGGCCTTTTGTACTTGAACTTTTTGCGGGTTTCGGAGATTCCGATGCGCCAGTATATATTTGGCATTGTGTATTGCACAGTCTTATATTTATTGTTGTTGTTTTTACATTGGAAAATATAATTTGTTCATCTTTTCGCTGAACTTGGCGATTAGATTACAAACGTCTCATCACCAATCTAGATACCATTTTGAATGCAGTAATTGGTTGTGTCCGTTTCTTTTTATAGATCGTTCAGTGGTGTAGGGAGATGTAGCGCTATCTGGTTGGCTGAGTTTCATTCGCCTCGTGCCGGTGGATATGAGTAGTCTGACGGTTTGGCAGTCAGTCTAGTGTTGCCGTTGTCTTGTTGTGGTGCGTAGGATATCCCGCTTTCTTTACGTTGGTTGGTCCTTTTATTGCATGGGTGTGTAGGCTGGATAAATGTTGACGCTCTACTTGACCGAGTTTTCCGATGATTTTCAAGAATATTTGTTTGGTGCAGGCTAGATCGATCACTTCGGTGTTTTCGAAGTCCATTTGATGTCCTTCTTGATCTTCGCTAATGGAGATGAGTGACGGATATCCAGGTTTAAGTTACTCTTCGCTCTATTACGCGTTTCTTCTTAATACATCCCCCTGGACTTCTTTTTATAGCAGTTGTTGTTTTCCTCCAAGAGGAGAACAAACTCGTCCACATTGACACTTCTACCAGACGAAAGTCAGACGTCCTATGAGGTAGCGTCAGACAACTATGATAAACACTAGTGAAACGCTTTTCTCACTGGTCTTACACACGGAGCATCTTTATAAAATCGATTTCTGTGAGTCAGTTAGGACAGCCGAAAGCAGACCCAATCATAAAAGAAAACACAAAGCGCTTTACACAAGACTTTCCAACTTGTCCCTACTTGGTTTGGAGTGTGCGTGTGTATACTTCGGACCATTCCAGGTGATGATGATTGTGATAGACAACTTCATCATAATGGGGCTCCTTACCACACCTCTTCCCGGGGTTTAAGTTTAGGCTTTCCTTGCCAAACAATAAACCCTTCTGTGATTCGCATGAAAGTGCATCGTGAAACTATTTGTGAATGGTGAATACAGTGATGCACCCAGTAGTCATACATGCGTATGGACCAGATCCACTGCTCTAGTGTTTTTTCCAAGTGCAGTCTGGTTTACTCGGATGATCCTTAGACCGTCATGCTGTTTTTTTTCTGAAGCCCACAAAGCTGCACTTTTAGATTACGGATGCGAATTGTCAAATTTTCATCCCACTCATTTTTTTTCATTATTTCAAGTTATTGTTTGGTTTGTCTAGTTACCACCTTTTTTAAAATTCAAATCTCCTCCGGTTTGGATCGAAAACGTGTAATTCTTTCTTTGTGAGTTTAATCAGTTGGCAATACTATGTGGACAATCATATCAAAATCAACTTGATCGTTTTTCCACATTGCTTGGTTATATGCGTATGAAGACAATTTCCTGATCCGTCAGTTGACCAACGCGCAATTCTCTAGACAGACACGACAGCAATGACCATCGGCAAAGCGCGGAGCAAACCCCAGACCCGTGTGTACCAATAAACAATTCCGGTTAACCCAGAACCCGCCGGGGGGAGATACTTAGGCTGTTTGTCAAACTCCATGCCCCATCCCGCTTTGCATCTTATCCCCGTTGCCACCCACCATCCATTCGAACATCAAAATGATGAAGCTTTCGATTCCTATTTGACAAACACATTTAAACCTGTCTCCGAGTTTGGGATTCAATCAATACGCGTCCAATTTGCCCGATCATATATATATATATATATATANNNNTATATATATGCATGCCTGACGAGCGGCAAGAACCGCGAAACCGGTCGTGTGCTTCCACGAAAATTTTGTCCAGTCATAAGTAGTAGTAGTAGTAGTAGTAAAAAGTAGTATATGACTGGACAAAATTTCCCTGGAAGCACACGACCGGTTTTGCGGTTCTTGCCGATCATCAGGCATGCGTAGTCCTTTGTCGTTTCATTCATATACTTGTCTAATCAATCATATACTTCTTATTATGAAATATTCCATGATAACTCTCAAGTCTCGTTTGTTGCTGTTAATAGCATCTAACCCACCCACAAAACATGGAATCCTAGTACTGATTATTCCATGGACTGATTCTGAAAGAGCTGCCTATCCAAAAATCACCCGGTTTTGCAAACAGGGTTATTGTGACGACCTAAAAAATTCATTGGACAGTGTAAATAGAATCGAAATAGAAGTGTTCATCAGTACCGTGTGACTGCTTCGATCCTGCTTGCAAATGAACAAGTTGGATAATCTCAATGTTCATTCATCCATTTACTTATTTAAAACTGTAACTTCTTTGGCTACACCAGAATAGGAATTTCATTTCGTTATTGATTAAACTGATCCCAAAGACCTCACTCAAAAAGTCTGACCTAATCTAGTTCCCCGGTCATAATTTTACTACCCTTGTTTTGGCAAACATCGCACACCGGGTGACATGCGTAACATATGTCACATTCATCACCATCTGCAAAGGTCAGTCTCTTGTGTTGACACTTGTTTGCAGTCGACTAACACGTTGCATCTAACCTCGGTATGGCGCGTCCCATTTCCCCCCATACGTATGCAATACTATACTACTTAAACTTACTTTCACACCAATCGGTTCTGTGAACCAGGATGACCCATAACAGTTTTGACGTGCGGGATCTCACGAGCCGTAATCCAGCCAATTCAGTGCGCGATTCACTAAAATGGTCACGTAATTTGGGTACAGTTTGTCTCATTACGACGTCTGTTTTGGTAGGTTTGTGAATAGAACACTAATCAGTACATATAATTACGGACACTTTCATTTTGCAACGAAATAAAACAACATATGGCTCGCAAGTTAAAATGATGAGAAATAATTAATGGTCATTCAAAAGCGGTGGGGGCATCGTAATGAAAATTGCCTAGCACGATTTGGACGATTTATCCCTCTGTTAAAACATAAATATAGTCTGCATACACTGTTTCCGAGAGTTGTGCGCACTCGAAAAATGCAAAAAAGCTTCCTACATTTCTTCCACTATCTGAAACTGGCGTCCATTTTTAACATGATTTCGTCCTAACCACAGACCTGTGGTTTTCCATGGGGAAGGAGCAATATACACTAGGTGCAGGCTAACAGAGTGGACTGGGATCTGAGTATTGAATCCACGATCTGATCAAATATGACATGTGTACAGAGGGGCTTTTGTTGTTAAAGGGATATTACATAATTTTTTCAGTCCATGTGCTGTACTTTCTCGTCTGTTTGAAGTGCTCATGCATGTTACTTATTGCCACTCGTGGATGTTTTTTTATCAAATTCCATTACCACTGGAGGTGTGGCGTGTATCGTAGCACTTGTTGCATCCTCTCGATAGGAAGCTCTCCAGGCTCTTAGAGGTCATTCGTAATTTGGCACACGCTTTTGAATGATATGCTCCAATTGTTTGTCCAATCATAAAGAACCTCGAAAATTTATCAATGATTGCTTGCATCACACTGTTATGTGTTAACCGGCGAAAGACAAGCAAGATAGCAGGTATAACAAGACGCACTACCCTGGTGACAATCTTGTTTTTGAACCGCTCTATACTCAGTTACCCACCACTTTGTCTGTCACCGATCACTGTTTAAGGATTTCACTTCTGGCATTTAAACGAATCATTTGCTATCCAAGGGTTTACTTGGATTCTGTTATTCGTGAAGGTTACCGAATCGGGACAATTTTGCACTCCTGGAGTAAATTTGTCCCAGCCACGCTGTTACCTGACTCAGTCTTCATCAGATATTCTCTAACCTTTTGGTATGAGATGTTGTAAACAGGGGGATTTCTCAACTACCTAGGAACGGTTAAGTGTGGTTGCTCACGGATTCGTTTTTTTTCTTACTTCACTTTCTTACACTTCCTCAGATTTACGTTCTGCACTCCACGGGAACGGGATTGCAAGAACCGTTTGTTTCGAAGGCGTTATCTAGGAAAGCACAATTGACACACACCTAACGAGACCTGTATAGTTGTCTTTCTCTTTTCTTGGGCATGTTAGCCTCACTTTCACTCACTTAATTTTTTTCAAATTCGTTTTAACACCGCCAAACATGAGTATTATAGTGCGAGGTTATCAGATGTGTAATCTATCTGTCATTGTCTTATCTGTCAACGGATCAACCCAGTTTGTGTCTGTCCTCACTCTGTTGTTTCAACTGATCATACATTTGAAAATTCCAACATCTCCTGCACCTTTGCGTCCGCACAAACCATCGCAAGACCTGGCACGTAGGTATGAAAACCCTAACCTGGAGACTGGGTCACATCGGTCCCATTAGATTTCCCGGCTGGGGACCTCGGATGATTGTATCCGAGGGTTAGAGTGTCGCAAACAGAGGCATCTCAATTTCTTTGCAACCTTAGACCAATGAAATTCCCCATTTTCTATTCGACCCTACTTTCAACTTTACTGTCTTTCCCCTACTGTTCATCCAAATGGGCGGCCAAAAGATAGCAACCAAAACCGACGCACAAAAGTGCGTGGTTAATAATTGTTCAAACTGAAACTGAACGCAAACTATCCGGTTATCGGTAATAGCTAGGATTCGGGCAAGTCACTGAGATCAGTCCATGGCCCTCCTCAATGTTTACGAAACGCACAATCGTACATAGAATTAGCCCGTCTATCATTTCAATCAGTCATCTTGGTCCCGATGCGAGAGAGTGAGGGGGAGCTGTCGTACTGCATATTGTTCACAGTCCGAATTGGTGTTCCATACCTAAAGGTCTTTGTGTGTTCCACCATTTGATGCACGTGCAACGCTAACACGTTCATTTCCATATTTACTTCCTCCCCCCGCCCCACTTTCCGATGACAGTACTGGCTCCAGTTGGATCAAAAAATTGCCAAACAACTGGGAAGTAAGTTCATCTGAATTTGCTCTGCTTTGTTACAACTGCTACCCTCAACCAGCATGTCCCCCCCCCGCCCCCTCCTCTTCTTCGTGCTCACTTTTGAACGGATGATCTATTCCGTCACTGCGTTCATTTTTCATGTTTTGCTATCTGTCCCATACACACACATCCATCTATCTAATTCTGGTCTAATCTCTCTCTTATCCCCTCCTCTCTTTGTCTCATTGTCTCTGTTCCCACGGGTTCCAAGAAAACGATTGGCAATTTGAATTCCAAGTTCGTTTCTATCCTTATGATATCGACGCGATCAAAGAGGACTTGACTCGATATTATTTGTGCCTACAAGTACGACAGGATATTGTGAGCGGACAGTAAGTTGACCTTCCTACTCTGCCTGTATGTGTGTGCGCGCGCGGCTGCATAGTTTCCAGTCTTCTATCTTCTTTAACCAATTGCCTCTGCAATAATTTCGGAACACCATTTTGTTGACACTCCAAATTCAATGTCCACAGGTTGAAAACGAAGAGAGTGATTTGTGATTTGCGCTCTCTCTTACACACAATGACACTGCTCTATAAGTCATCCAAGGGTTTGTACATCTACCTTAAAACAATTTGTATCTTTTATTTTGACCTTGAAGCAAGCAAACATTAACTTCTCTATCCAGGCACACCCATGGTACGGATGTCTGGTTTAGTTTTTTTTCCAAAAGCATTATTCTCTCCATGTTTTGAATGAACGCATCCAAGGTTTTAGCAAAAAGCTGCACACTTGGTGGAGTGTGATTTGTGAATACTCGTGTATGACAGCTCCACACCTGGATATGGTTTTGGTTCCGAGTCTGTCCGCTGCCATCGTCCAAGAATCTGATAAAGACGAGTTACCCGTATGATGTTTGCTTCCTCCGATTTTCCAATTTTGTCAGCCTCTATGCCTGCATAGGAGACTGGTGTTTCGCGTTGCCCGCTCGAACGCCGTGACCATTCACTCTGGTTTTGTGTCCCAAATGAGGCTAGTTTTCTCCTACCACTGACACGCGCGCGCGCACACACACACACACACACACACGTGTATGTGCACATACACACGGGCATGTTCTTTGTTCCCATCTCTCCAGGGGGCATGGTCGAGCCCTCTCTGGTCGCTACCATGGTTCACTCTCCGTTCTCTCCCTGTCTAACCAGCTTTGATTTCAGCACGCACTCATTGTCAGTCCTCGGAGTAAGCTGAATTGACCGAAGACAACCGTAGTGACACGTTTGGTGCTCGTTTGTGCGTACACCGGCCCAACTGTTGGTGTAGATTTCTTATGGAGCCACTGTTTTTCAAAACACGGATAACCTATACCGGTTATTCACCTTCGTTCCTTTCCCTCCCCCTCTCAATCGCCTAGAATATGATACCGATCATCCCCTAAAGCAAATTTACAACTTACTACGGGGAAAAATTGAATGAGACTGGTGGAAGCGATCTGTGCAAAATGTACCACGCGTGCTTGCACTGAACCGATCAGTTTATCGGAATGAGATTTACGAATTCGGGTACAGTTCAGGCTCAACTGGGATCACTTTCAAGTGAGTAATCTCACACAAACACAGAGACAAATTATGTTGTCCTATTGAACGGCTACATATTGGCGCGCGCGTGAGGGAGGGCACAGTCCAGTTCATACGTAATTTCACCAATTATTGCAGCCATAGAATTTATCCGGTGGTTTCTAAGGTAAACCTATTGTGTAAGACATGTTAATAGATGTAGTCCATATACCTCTGCTGGTTGGGTGAAATGCGATAATACTGTAGCTGTTAATGCGGCCGCGTAGCTCAGTTGGTAAACAGTGCCTTCTGTTAAAGTCTGGGTAAAGGGGCATCCATATACATGGGTTGAAACCTCGCCGAGGCTACCGGTAGGTTCAGAAACATAAGCAGGACAGATTGAATTGATTAGATGGCACAGACGAAAAATGTAGAGCACGGGCTGGGTAACTCTGATTGAAGGCCACCAGATCAAATCCTGTTGCATTTGAGAAATGTGTAAAATCATGCAGACAACTGAATCATAGAATCCGCGTTTGTGTTCTTCTCCGACACAAACAATAATAATTGTATTGCCATGCGTTGTGCAATCGTGTCCTGCCCCATCAACTGTAATTTTCCTTTCTCCTTGTATAAACTCTTCCCTATGACAGGTTCTCCGTTTACAATAGAACGGTTTGAAATTCCCGACTGGTAGTTGTATGTACGGTGGAGNTACACTCAAGACACATAAGAATTGACGAATTCATCATCGTTGAAGTTGTTGGCTGTTGTACTACTCGGTCGCCCGGTTCGGAGTAGGCCTTGTTCAAGGGTGCACTCTAGCCTTTGCGCAACCAAGCGCGGACGGCAAGGTGGCAGCGATGTTGCAGATGAGCCGGTGGCCAGTATTCGTTCATTCGCCTCTTTTGGAAAATCTTGTCGAACAATAGATTTCGGCAAGGGGCGATGGCCACATTTAGTGACGGACCACACTCGCCACGTAGCCATGCCGCAGATGTGTGTAGTGTTTTGTGATGGATACTCTTCTCAGGAGGTAAACCCACCACATCCTCGACCGCTGCCGCTGATCGTTCGCGACCGCTCATTCGGAGGGCCGAAACCCACCTTATTCACGGTTAGCTGTGAGTGGACGGCCGTTCCCCTATCCGTCACCTGGGGACGCACTCGGTGGCATACAGCTCTGCTCTGTTAGACATCCCTGCGTCAGAAATTCACACACAATATCCATCAGTCCTTGTCCATTCCAGGGATCATAACCCCTTTTACTACGCGTACTTCTGTAAACTAGCGGTTAGGTCACTATGAGAATGGGAATTCCGCATAACAATCATACGTCGCCTGAATAGATTAGATACAAATGACCGATCGTTGTTTGTAACCATGGCAACATATAATAATAGCGGGAAGAAAGGCGTCATATTGGCGACTAGGATAAGCAATGTAACATTTCAGTTTTTGATCCCATAGTAATATCTCCTCATATCCCTCGACACGTTACCATCAGTTCCTCCTACCACTCTGCCTCACAAATAGCTGACCACACGGAAGTGGTATTCCGCATGTTCCATCGAGCTGATCGCATAGTGTTTCTCTCTAATGATTTTCAGGTAAACCATTTCCATTTTTCTGGTGTGTTTGAAGAGTTGAGTTATACATATGTTTCGTCACCGTTTTTAGTGCCTATGAAGGTATAATCTTATCTGTTGATAAAACGCATTTGCAACCAAATTACCTACCCATAGGAACGGAAAATAAACGTAGCACAAATAGTACCGACTTATGTGTTTTGTCACTACAAGTCTGAGGCTTAGTTTGTCGGTTATAGTTGGTGTATAATCGGTTCTTGTATCCGGAGGAGAATCACGACTTCCGCTGTTCGTCACCCAAGGATATGTAATACAAAAAAGATATATGTGATGGGCTGTATCTCTTCTTGGGTATGGTTCACTCTGACCTGCTGACTGTCACCTGTCGATCCACATCCACACCTGATTTATTGCATCGGCCAAATATTTGATATCGGATAAGCTAGTCAGCACACCTTGACACATTTGAGTACCACTGCCGTAACTCTTTTCTCTTCTCTGTTTCATTATTCAACTGAAACTCCTCTGAGGGATTCTCCTCAGATTAAATGTTACGCAGCCTTCTTTCACGCTTGTTCCATCTCATTTCCCTCGTTTGAGGCATCATTGTATGTGTGTGTGTGTCTGGTTGACTTATCGAAGGTATTTGTCGGCAAATCCAACAGGTGACAGTTGGAGGGTGGTGATGGCCAAGTTCTGACTCACTACACTAAAAACGGCACTCGAACTGTAATGCATTGCTGGGTTTGCGTTTGCATGCTATGCATGACTACTCTTCTCTGTCTTCGGACTGAAATTTTCTATAGCCATCCTCTCTCCCGCTCACTATGTTCAGGTTTAATGCACGATAGCTATGCGATTTGTGTCTGATCGATCCGTTTGTGTGCGCGTGCGTGTAGAATATTCATGAGACAGATGAGCCTGGGAGGCTGATCAGATTGATCATCACAATTCTTGACTGACTTGGCTATTTTTTTCAACCCTTTTCAACTCCGAGATTAAGCCAACCCTTCCTGATGCGTACCTGGTGTTCACATCTGTAGGACATCCGGGACATTGTTGATGCCATTCGATTTGATATGTTTTTGTGCTCGCTCTTTGTACTTCATTTACACACACACGCACTTCCATGCTCGTTGGGAATTTATTGACACACCGAATTGATGCCGTAATTTGATTTGTTTCCTGGTCTTCGTCATATCCTTTCTCTCTGCATTCTCTATTGCAAGGGTGGGTTATATTAAGTCATTATCAGCCAATTTTGTACGATCGATCAAGCCGTTGTAAATCGTAGAATCAAACGTGTCTAAATTGCTTTTTCATTTGAGAGCGGATCGGCTTCTGGTCTCCGGCAGGACTATTCCATCTTTCTTAAGAGTGCTTGTAAAAATATGCACCTCTTGTTGTTGCACTATAATCTACTTCTCCTTTGTTGGTTCATCAACGAACGGCGACTTAAATCCTAGGTTCATTGGTTATCCAATGAACAAGATTGAGCCTAATAGCTATTTCCAACAGTATCGCTGCGATTTAGTATATGTATAACGTTCCCCTTTGTTATAATAACCATACCACAATAGGATACTGGATCGGATTGAGCAGGGTTATTGCTTTATCTCCCCAATCTCTTAAAATACAACCAGATGATGAGCAGTGTTACCGTGCTATCTGACTACCACTCATACCGGGGAGGTTCACCTCACTTTCTCAGCTCGATCCAAGTTCACGTGTAACGCAGTTTCCTAAATGGTCGTCAATTGGAACCAGTGTCGACCTTCATAGGCTTCGTTGGTTAGGGCATGTGTTGCGCATGTCATCAAATAGATGGCCACGGCACATACTGTTTACTGAGACAGGTGATGGTGGGATAAAGTAAAGGGTGGTCAAACTCAGACCTGGTGTGATGGTATGTAAACCCTGACCAGGAAACTTGTTCACATAGGTCATGCAGCTATTGGGATCATTGTAATCAGTAGTGAGAGACACTGCGAGATCTTACTGTGTTGTGTGCAGTGGCATCTCGATTTGTTTGGAACCTTAGTCTTCATGAATTCTCTATTTTCACTCTGATGCAAATGTGAATATTCCCCTTTCTCCTTCATCCAAATGGGCAGTCATGAGGCAGCAGCCAAAACCGGTGCACAAATGTGCATGGCTAATGGTTGTGAAAATGGAAATTAACTCAATCGTATTGCAGTTTTTCGCCAGAGTTCGTCACACAAACACGCATTTCTTTCAGGTTGCGTTCTTTCTCTTTTTTTCCCCTCAAGTTCTCGGCGATGGAAGCCACGTTCACTGTCGTCCTCTGAGCCCCTAAGGTTCGAGGTTCCAGTGCTTATACCGTCTGTAGCCCTATTTCGCCACTCCTATTCAATTTCGTCTTAGACGAAGCACTGGAGAACGCAATAAGCGGTCTCCAAAATGCTGGTTCTTAATGGACAGTTGTGCAGCTTAGAGTAAGCTAATGACATCGATTTTCGGTCTATGGTGGCCACTTAATGGATGATTAAAAAGCAGCTTGTTTCGCCCACCAGACTTTGTTTTCAATATCATAAAAAACGTTTCTCATATTTAATCATTTGTTGTCAAATTTTCACCTCAAATGTTATGTATACGCCGGAAAGGGAAGTTCTTTTGCCACGTGGAGCTATTGTACATGACAGCTATAATTAGCTACTGTGGTTCTGAAACAAGATACATCATTTATTCCATTTCACCTGTTCGCCGAGCTTGGCAATTTGTTTGCAAACGTTTCATCACCAGCCGAGGTGACATCAGTACGTCAGTAATTCAGAAGCGCTGATTAGGTCCCCTAGTTTTCGGAACCCGCAATCACCGCTTTACTGTCATCCTGCTCAATACCATATTCAGGCTAGTGGGACCTTATGTTATTGNCAATTCTAATCAGGCTTGGGTTTCCGGTTCCTGGGACTGAACAACCATAAAGTTACCCCCCCCCCATCTACTGTTCATTACACAATAAGATGTATAAACAGTGGAGGTCGTTCGACAGCTGTTAACGCATCATAGCCCCCTCCGCCAGAGTGTACTCTTCCAGCATGTGAAAAGCATTTGACGATACTGCAATAGATACCGGATTTCAATAGGCACTGGCAATGTGAGTATCATCATGAACCAAATCTTGTGAAAAGCAATTGTGTGAAGTGTCGTGTTCTAACCATATTGATTATCAGGGTGGGAAAAGAGTTAGCCTAAGTTTTTTTAATACACTCCATGGTATGGTACACAGCAGAAATGGTAAAGCCCATTAGTCACC